TAGATTTGTTCTCCCCCGATGTTGTGTCAAATATATCGTACAGAGATGATGGACCTCATTTATTGTACCAATTTACACACAATTAGTAAAAGAGAGCATACTCAGTTAATTTTATTCTATATTGTTCTTTACTATTTTTTTTAATTTCAATTTTGTCAAAATATCATGTAATGTCATGCAAAATATGTCAACCAACAAGTCACCAGTTTTGTTGCTTTCAAAGCAAATACCTTTGAAAACTTCACTTATTATTTTTCTTTGCTTCGTGACAATCAAATAGTTTAAAACTTCTATCGCAAATCAATGCAAAATTGTATAGTCAAATTAAAATTTCTGAATCCTACTGCCAATTCTTGTTGCATTAATGACATTTCCGTCTGTTAATGACGCAAGTAAAACAACACACTGTAATTGTACAGTATATTTTTTGTAACTAATAACATGTCACATTTGCTTAATTGTTTCCCCTTAGATAACTGTGCCTTGACTGATGCTGATGTGATGTTGAATCTGTATCCTGTGCGTTCGTCCACTGAATTATGAAATAATGTTAGTTACAAGTAATTGAATAGCATTCTGTGCAGTAGCACCAGTAGGCCAGTAATCATTCACCCATTAAATCAAGGCATTCCTTCCTGCGAAACATAGAATTGTGTATGGAAGAGGTTGCCAATGGCCTTGATCCAAGTCTGCTGGGCTGGATGACATGAGCTGAACTTTGTGTTAATGACTACTGGTCTCTGTGGTGTAATTTGCTTTATATCAATGGATAATATTACTCTTCGGACCTAGTGTTGATTTAATTCCATAATGAATTCAACAAATAATAAATATTCAAAGGATACAAATGAGTGTTTCATCCTGGTTTTACATGTGTATATTTTTAACTGTTGTGTAATTGTTCAAATCCAGAAGCTCTAATTCAGTGTTTCTCAACCTTTTACAGAGAAGTAGATGCAAGTGTAAAAAAAAAAATCCTAAGTACCCCTGCCTCTAGAAAGTAAGTTCTCTTGATTTTAACTCCAAATGAAACATGTAGACACTGATATTTAAGTTAATCCCTTATTGGAGAACAAGCCTAATCAAAGGTAGTAAATAATATATTTTAAATAAATATGAGATAATGTGAATATTTTGTATGCAAGGAGTATACAAACTATTTATCTGAAGTACAAAAGTCACATAATTAAATTATAATACACACATAGTGGATATACAGAGAGGACACTGACATAAAAACACAATTACACACAGAGGACACTGTCACACACACACACTCACAGAGGACACACTGACACACACAGTTACACATGGAGGGCACTGACATACATACAATTACCAACTTACAAGGATACGTGAGAGTAGTGTCTTTGTAGTATGAGGATCAAAAAATATAAAAAGTGAAAAAAAAAGAAACACAATAGTGCTTTCTATATAAAATATTGGAAGGTTAAAATTAAATGTAGAATGTACTCACATTTGCCAGGGCAGGTGAACTGCTTGATGGATATGGCATGGGTGGTATAATCCCCACCAAGGAGAGTAGTACTCACTGGAGCTAAAAATCTGATTATGTATCCTTGCAAGTGGGGATTGTACCACTGTATGCCATTCATACTGGAGCTAGTTACAGCTCCATAAAATGTGAGTAGGACTATATATTATTCCTTTTGGCTGTTCTCAGATAGAACATACTACCCTATTATTCCTCCCATTAAGGAATCAAGCAGACATTCTGTTGGAGAAGCACTTTTTGCAAGTGTATTTCCAAACTATAACTTTGGACTTTCATATATTGGACTTTTTTGCTCCTCTTGGGATATATATACTTGTGTGCTATATTATAGCTTCCTAATTGTTTCTATTTATTTGCTTATTATATATTTCTCCATATTGTGGTGCTACCCCTAACTTCCTCAGTTATTTTGTTTTCTAAGTACACCCATTGTATAATCTCTTTAGGTGCATGAAGTTTGACCGCTGCTTCCAGTAGGGCAGCTGTATAATAAGCTATCACTTTGGGGAATCCCAAAGCTGATTCTTGCATCAGAGCTACTGGTAAACGAGGTTTCTGTTGACCCCATACAAATTTCACTAGAGTGGATTGAATTTTTTTTTACACAGGGACTGGGGTACGTGCAGGGGTAACATGCAAAACACATAAAGAAGTTTTGGTCATCATCTTTATGGTATTCAATCTCCCAAGCCAGGATAAATGCACCTTGTTCCAGTTCTGAAAGCTTGTGGAACACGAATGTATGAGGGGTTGGTAGTTGAGTAATTCCATTTTGTGGGGTGTGCTTGCGAGTTTGACCCCTAGTTAGGTTATATATGTGGTTCTCCAGTCAAACGGATGGGCCATTTGCAGCTGGAGAGATATACTTTTTGGGATACCAATGGGGAGCACCTGGGTCTTGTTACTGTTTAGCTTATAATTAGAAACCTTCCCATAATCTACCAGTAATTGCAGAAGGCAAGGCAAGGAAGTAGAGGGGTTGTGGGAACTGAACATTATAGAGAGCAGCTTCTATTTCCCCAAAATACAAAAATATGTATCAATATGTATTGAACCAAAGAGAGAATGTTTGGTTTCAGGGAACGTTAATATGTGTAGCATTGCAGTTCAGCATGAAAATGCTAATTTGATGAGTCACAGGTACACTGAGTGCAGTGGCGTAACTAGAAAATACAGAGCCCCGGTGCAAAAATTGCCCTGGGATCCCCCTCACCCCTCCATTTGTGTAATATAACACATACAGATGCATGCATGGACACACGTGCTAATAAACAGCCTCACATAATGACACACATTCAGATACACACGATGACACTGCGACAGTTACACAGACACACACAGACACATATGCGAATACACACAGATCACATACAGACAGATACACGTGTAGACACATGCAGATACACATACACAGAATGACACGCGTACAGATACAAACAGTGACACACATACAGATACATAGGGGCACACACTGACACACATGCAGACAAACAGATACACATAAAGAAACATATGCAGAAAAACAGATACACATACAGACAAACAGACACACATGCACAAACATTCACATACACAGAATGACACACATACACATATAAACTGTGACACACATACAGATTCATAGGGGCACACACTGACACACATGCAAACATATACACATACAGATACCTATACATACAAACAGACACACATACAGACCCACATGCAGACAGATACAAACAAAGATACATATACAGATACCTATACATACAAACAGACACACATACAGACCCACATGCAGACAGATACAAACAAAGATACACATACAGACACACACATGCAGACACACACATACAGACACACATGCAGACACTCACACACATACACATACAGATACAGATACAGACAGACATTCACACACACACACACACACACACACACACACATATATACAGATACAGACATACACACACACACACACACACATTCACACACACAAACTGTTAACATTTTTAGTCACTCTCCTGTTTCTTACCATTAGGTGCAGGAGGGTGACTTCCCTGGGGTTCAGTGGCTGCCTTCGACTGATGGGAGTCAGAACTCCCACTCTGACTCCCTCCTCTCGTCCCCGGTGTTCTCCACCCGCGTGGCTCTCTTAGCTGAGAGGAAGTGACAGCTTCCTCCCAGTGCCAGCGGACGCTCTGATGTCATCACTGGGGCCCGGTCACGCTCTTAAAGCTCCCCAGCACTGACAGGGCCCCAGGTAATTCATTGTCATTGGGTGGCCAATGCTTTTGGGCCCTTCCAATGCGGTCCCAGCGGTTGTTCCGCGTGGCTGGGGCCGCACCACGATCTCAGTGGGCACCACAGTCGCAGGGGGTGGCCGGTCCCCCTGGAGTGCCAGGCCCAGTCGCAGCTGCCACCACTGCGACCGCGGTAGTTCTGTCACTGACTGAGTGTAAGTTGCAGCTGAAGTGTTTTGGATCAAAGAAAACTTTGATTATTTGTCTATCTACACCTTCCAAATTGATTAATTAATGCGTGCACGCTTTCCCTAGAAGTAATTCACACCGGAGACAAAGTTTCTGATCAGTGAAAAACCCAGGAATGCTTTATTCCCCGGAGTGGGGGCTCCTTCTTAAAGCAAAAATACGTCACAGTTTAAACATACAGTATACATTCACCAATTGGTTAACATAGAAAGGGGGCTCTTGTTTAAACCCCCCTACAGAATGTAGTGTCATCATTACAGACTTTTGGATACACGATGGGAGGGGGAGTGAGTGGTATCTATCAGTTCTAAACCAATGATCCTCCATTTAGCTATATATGGCATATAGCTGTTAACTGGCACAAAGGTAGTGGGGGGGGGAGGCTAGCAGGATGTGAGGAATTTACATAGTAAACAGCAGCTGACCACATTGTAGGGGGGGAAGGGAATATTTACTCTAGAAGCCAGTTTTAACATAGTGAACAGAGAATAAATAGACATTAGTAAATAGCCATTTTATTTTAATTCATCTGTCCATAACAGTCCCCCCTTAAAATGGCAATTTTTACTAAAACTACTATCTCTCATTCTAATACTGTCCCTATAGAAAAATAACAAAAGGCTATCTTGCACATCTGTCTGAACAGGCCTCGAACACTTCACTGCGCGGGTACCCCATAGCAGCTTGTCCACTACTTCTCCCGCGGCAGACTTCTGCCCGTAGAGACAGACGCTATCCCTAAATGTCCTTAAGAGGAAGTAGCTGTTGATTTAGTGCGGTGGGACTGTAAGGGTGTATGTGGTGTATCAAGGTCGATGTCGTCAATCTCTTGGTGAAGGAAGGTCGGGGTGGTCTGGTCGATTGTCTGATCAACTGTCTTTTGTAGGCATTTCTTAAGACAGGGTAACACACAACAAACAAGAAGAGCGAGGATGATTATCGTTATTAAAATGGCAACACCTATTTGGGCCAAAGCACCTTGCCATCCAGACATCCATCCAAACCATCTTTCCCATGGATCTGTGGCCCCAGAATTTCGTTTCAGTTCATTGGACAAACTCTTTAACTTTTCTATTGCCAATGTTACCTTACCATTAGGGCCTGTATTATCTGGAATATAGGTACAGCATGTCATGGTGTCTGGGAGTATTTTACATACTCTCCCTTTTTCTGCTAAAATCATTTCCAAGCTTATTCTATTCTGGAAGGTCATCTGAGAGATAGTTTGTAACCGCCCTATCCCACCATATATCCCATAACAAGTATAGTTCCCGGGCTATATAGTAATGCCTTCGTCTGGGTTAATATTTTTAGTAATGATTGGGTATTAAGTTTCCATGACTCGCATGCTGACCGCTTAGGTTTAAATACAGTGTAGAGACTTAAAACGCATACTTCATATCCGGAGGAAGGTTCAGGGATACTGTACCTGGGTGAGGCCTCGCTCCTCTGCAGACATAGCAGTTAGACTTGTTATGTTTAGTAGCATTGTATTTCATCCATTCAAGTCACAAGTTAGTGTCAGAGAAACCTGTCTCTACAGCCCTCTTATCCTCAAATATGGGATGACTACCATGTCTTTTAAAGTCCTAATGTGTGGTTTGAGGGGATTAACAGTCATGTGCGTGGCACCTACCCATTCAGCTGAGTCATACATGTCCTGTAAGAAAAAGGTCTCCTGTTTATTGTATAAACCTCTTCCCTTCCAATTCAGATTTTATTAGCCGTAATGCTTGGGAGAATAGATTCAAACTTAGTGTCTTACCTTAAAATTATTTGGTACCCCCCTTGACACCCCTATGGCATTAATATACATATATATATATATGTGTGGGTAAAACCACCCTTTATAGGGGTACTCCTTTTTGTCCTGAAGCATGAATGAGGTGTGTCAAGAGTACCTTGGGGATTGTCATGTGTTATGTGTATGGACATAATAACCTAGGCTAGGGCACATTTACTTATTCTTAGAAATCTTGTCTCATGCTACCCTAGTACTGGCAGATTCAGATCATTTAAACATTCAATATTAATATCACCACAAACTCAAGATAAGCAGATGATCTTGAAGAAGCTTTGACTGTGCGTATGGCACCTCAGACATGAGGGCTGCAGGGTAAGGAGTATGTTTGTTTCTCTTTAGTTTCACGAGGTCCCCTTTTGGGGTATTCAGCTTTCCATCGATGGCAGGTGGTCAGGCATTATTATGGCCATCAAAACACCCACTTGTTGATATTTATTTATTTATTTTCAACAAGTATCTTTGTTCTCTAAGAATGGAGTTTCAAAAAGGGTTGTCAAGATCAACAAATGTTACTTCACATGATGCAGAGGCAGGCTTGATTCTGGAATGATGAACCCACGGGGTGATCTCTGTATCTTTCACGGTGCACTACTCAGCATGTGGTCTTGGTTATCACTTTGGTGGCTGGATAGGCCTCTGGCCATCCTGAAAACATGTCTGCTATAATTAGTGCATATTTGAATCAGCCATTCTTTGGCATTCTGGCGACTTGACTCCTCTGGAAGAGATAATGAGGTTTGGCTAGATGCTTGGGGCTTTCATCCATTCTTCTTGAGTTGCCCTTGGCACAAATGGCACAAGATTTACAGTAACTGTTGGTCAGAGAGGCAATTCCTGGTACTTCAGAGTATTTATTGATCAAAAGAGTTCATGAGGGTTCTGGACAGATGCTCCGTAGGCCCACTGGACCACTGCTGAGTATATGTTCTTGGGCAAGTATAACTTGAGATTGTTGAAGTACAGCCTGTCTTTAAGAGTTGCCCCTTTCTGTTTCCAGCTTGTGGTTTGTTTGTTTTTTTTCTTTCTTTCCAGGGTCAGTAGCTTGCTTGTTATTCCTTCGGGAGCTTGATGTCTGTGGGTAGGATCTTACATGGTGAATATGGGAGTTTCTTCAGCAGACACTTTTCTGTCCACTTCCCTTAGTGCACTTACAACTTTTTGAACAACTTAGTCAGCCAGAGAGCTGCCACATGCTTCCTCTGAGTTCAGTCTTCCTTCAGAGATCTTGCATGGTGTGATGGGAGTCTATAGCTCAGCTTCTTGTGCAGACATTGTTGAGGTGAGATACTTGGTCCACTGTAGTGACAGCAAATCCGGAACAGAACATAAGAAAAAGGCTAAAAAAAAAATAATAGTCAGTGTCTTATCATTTCCCCCCTTGGGAAGTGGCAGAAGAGTGGCCAGGTAAATAGAGTATCATCCCTGCAGGGTGACATTATCCTGCACAGAATTCGTCCATCACAAGGAGAGGTGGGATATTGCATGGAAAGTCTCAGGTAACCAGGGCAACATTCGACACCAGAGCCTTAACCTGTTAGGGAATAGTAAGAGCTTGGACAGGCTTTGGGGCCTGTATAATTCAGGTAAAGGTATTGGGGGAACTAGCTAGGACCCTTGCCTCTTGGTCAGGTTTCACTGTGTGGAACAAAATAAATAATAAGGTGATAGGGGCCTGCAAGTGGGGGAAGGACATCTGCACCTAGCAGATTAATTGGACAGGTGAAGGTATCCACAAAGCAAGGCTTAGTTAACAGGCTACTCCAAGGAGAGCCATCTACACTTATGCAGGAGACAACAATGTTAGACAGGAATGAGGAGTCAGGCAGGCCTTACTTGGTACAAATAGATGTCATGTGGCCTGCTATACAAGGCTGCATATAGTTATTGGGCATGGGCCTTACTATGTACTAAAACTTAAGTTAAAAGAAAATTTGGGACAACCTGAAGTGATGCTTCTCCACAGATGCTAACTCATCGTTGATGACATTGTTAATACAGGTAGCCTGATCAGCCAATTTATCTTAGGCTTAAACAAGTCACACCATGTAGTGGAATGGGTCATTAGGATTCGGGAAATTCTACAGTAAAAGGGCATAGTAAGGATGTACGCGATGTTACTTTAGGAGTAGGCGTGGCTGTGGATAGGGGGAAATCAGCCTTATCCATTCCCATATATTATTCCTTTTGTCTTCAGTATATCCAAACCATGTGTATGTCCAGGCGTTGCAATATACAGTAATCCATTATCAGTCATGATATTAAAATCTCATTCTCATGAATTAAATCAAAGATTTTAAATCAACCTCAGAAGCAACAAAGAATAAATCTATTGTTTTTTCTTCTGTAAAATGATTGGAGTTACTGTATAATCGCATACACCCAATATAACATTGCATGTTCCTCACTGCTACATTAGTGTATTTCATTCTGCCATATTTGCAAACTTGATGTAAATTTCTATTTTAATTAATTAACCTAATACTTTCTTATAACACACATAAAACAATGAAAAACAGTTCAGACTAACAATTCATTAAAACAACAAACTAACATAGATCTCTATTCTTGGCTGTTTTTAATTCTGGAATCAGCCTGTGTACATCTGTTGGCAGACATATCCATGCTCATTCCCTAAACTGATCATGTCTCGTGAAGTTATCGGATTCTTATAACTTTCTGTGTTACACTGCATTGCTTGTCTGTCTCCTAATTTCGATTTAGCTAAAATTGCTCTGATTTGTCTGATTATCAGTTTACAAGGAAAGGCTTTAATTGATTTATCTCCACATGCATTTTCTCTGTCAAAATTTTCAATCAACAAATTTAATTTCTCATTTGCTTTTGATTTGATATCTCGGATAAAATATCTGCAAGATCTTAAATAATGTTGTTTATTGCACCAAAAACAAACAACTTTATGAGTTATATTCTGCATTTGATTTAAGCAAATTGGGAGTGGCTCTGCTGTCTGTATCACTCTTTTACACTGAGTCCACGAAGAAGAAGAAGGAGGTGTGTAAAATCTGCACTTCTTCCTCTGCCTAAATCCACAAGTCGTTTTAACCCCTTCATTCTTGGTTTCCCTCCTTAAGTTATCCAAGAACAAAGCTACTTCTGTCAAAGTGCTTTTTTCTCTGCGATATCATTTATAAATTCCACAATTCATTTGTTCCAACAAAATCTAACTTTCCTTATTCCAACATGCCAATAACCTCTTGCTTAACAACATATACAAGATTACACAAAGTTCCTAACTAGGTTATTCGTCCAGCAAATATACCTTGTTTCCCTCACATTCCTCACTGAGTTTACAAGCATTTCACCCATTCACCCCACCCCCCTGTAGCCAATACTCATAGCAGTCAGAGCAAGAGAAAGCAACAAAGAAGGAGGGGGGAGGAGGGAGGAAGACTTGCAAGCACAAAGTTTTTTAACCATGTGATTGCCTAAGCACAGCTCTCCTTAGGACAAAAGATAGAATAGGAGAGTAACGATACAAATTGTATAGATTACAATTAACATATATGGTACCCAACAAGACATACAGAGACAAAAGCACAAAATACAGATGTAATTAAATCACAAAGTTCTTAAAATAAATGCCGGCTTATAATAAATCAAATCACACACACAGAAACACTCAAGCACATAAACCGCTCCTTTACCGAAGCTTAGCTATTTAAACTCTTGACCGAGTCTTAATAAAACAAAGGAACCGCCAGGTTTTTTACCAAACGAGGCCAAAACATCACTCACTAGCTTCTTTACCAAAGCTTAGCTAAAATAAATTTTTTTTTTATTTTTTTTTTATTTATTTATTTTTTTTAATTATTTTATTTATTTATTTTTAAACTCTTGACCGAGTCTCGCAATAACTTCTTTACCGAAGCTTAGCTAAAATAAATATAGAGCCAGAGGTTTTCCACCAAACCCGAACTTGGCTAAACCTGCAAGTGCTTAACCACACTTGGCAGCATTATATAACAGTATTAAGCAAGTAGTAAAACAGATTCTCAAACAGACACTTTCACACATAAAACTCTCACTCAGGACTCAGGCTGTAGATAGACAAGTGACAGGTTCTATATAAAAGGGGACATTCGGGCATATATATATTACCTGTCTGAAGACGTTAAACACCGGAAGCCGAATGTGAAGGCACGGAGAACAAGAGAAATCCAAAGAAAGGAAAATATAGGTAAGTAACTCATTTACCATATGCAGAGGTGATCAGGCTCCGTTTCCAATCTCTGGGAATCCTTTGCTCTCCTGTCTTGGGATCTGACGGCTGCCTTAGTAACGTATCCCTTAAATGCCCGCATTCTCCACCAAATTGTTTTGGATCAAAGAAAACTTTGATTATTTGTCTATCTACACCTTCCAAATTGATTAATTAATGCGTGCACGCTTTCCCTAGAAGTAATTCACACCGGAGACAAAGTTTCTGATCAGTGAAAAACCCAGGAATGCTTTATTCCCCGGAGTGGGGGCTCCTTCTTAAAGCAAAAATACGTCACAGTTTAAACATACAGTATACATTCACCAATTGGTTAACAGAGAAAGGGGGCTCTTGTTTAAACCCCCCTACAGAATGTAGTGTCATCATTACAGACTTTTGGATACACGATGGGAGGGGGAGTGAGTGGTATCTATCAGTTCTAAACCAATGATCCTCCATTTAGCTATATATGGCATATAGCTGTTAACTGGCACAAAGGTAGTGGGGGAGGGGAGGCTAGCAGGATGTGAGGAATTTACATAGTAAACAGCAGCTGACCACATTGTAGGGGGGGAAGGGAATATTTACTCTAGAAGCCAGTTTTAACATAGTGAACAGAGAATAAATAGACATTAGTAAATAGCCATTTTATTTTAATTCATCTGTCCATAACAGAAGTTTTCATACCTCCCAGCATTGCAAATGGACAAAGAGGGACACTTTAAATGTAGGATTGTGAGTAGGGGTGTGGCTAGAGGCAGAGCTGTTCTGAGAAAAGGTACTAATGACAATTTATCTAACTAAAATGTAACTTAGAACAAGAACAATGTATGTTATTTACAGAGACTGATTTCTAAACACATTTATTGTACCTCAAAGACATGTTACTGTGAGTATTATTACTGTGGAGCTATGTTACACACTCAGGCACATCATCAATATAGATCTTCTAGAAAAGAGGGACATTAGGATAGAAAAGAGGGACAGAGGGCTTTGGGCCCAAAATAGGGGCTGTCCCTCCTAAATAGAGACACTTGGAAGATATGAGTTTATACAGCATGTTTAAAATGATATGTAAATAAAAACAACAGAACACCGCATCTGTAGTCTCTGAGAGCCCTGTGCATTTACAGTAACATTGAAACAGTAGTGGGCTTAAAAGGGTTGACCTAATACACATGAAAGCGTGCCCCTGACTCACTACCCAATAAGATCCATTGGTAGATCTAACTATGGAATGTTTACCGAAGAAGTAACTGAAATTTTTAAAGGTCTTCATGTTTCTGGCCCAACTATGCATATCAGAAT